GTGTGTGGAGTGGGGCGTGAGTGGAGTGGGGCGTGAGTGGAGTGGGATATGTGTGGAGTCGGGGACAAGGGAAGGAGATGGGCTGTGTGTGTGTGTGTGTGTGTGTGTGTATGAGAGAGAGAGAGTTCATAGCCTCTAGAACTACAGCAGATGGACGGAGCTCTCCCCAGAGGGGACCTTTTGATTTTGTCACTGATGTATTTCTAGCATTGACTTAAATGGGTTTTTAAAAAATGTATTTTCCCCCTTGGAGCACAAGCGGATTCCCGTGGTGAGAGACCGGAGGAGGAAAGAGCTGGATTTTAACGTGGGCTCTGGGCATCAGGCCTGCAGTGGGCACGGACGTGATGGCTGCTGAAGTGACAGCGGTCTGTACCCCATCCCTGAAGACCATGTCCCTGTTCTCCCTCCAGTGACGTCCCCTGTGGGGGCCTTTTTAATCAGAAGCTGCAGATTGGCAGCTCAGAGGCAGACCCACCTGCAGGCGTAGTTCAGCCTTCATGGCGTGTTTCTGAGAAATCCCTTTTCATGGCTGTGTTTAAACATCAGGAGATTCCACACGCCTTCTCAGCCTCTGGGCTCTATCGGCTGGGCCTGGAAGCAGTGCCCCTTCTGATGGGCAGCCTCCCTGCAAGCACTCCCCTCCCCACTCCTCCCAGGGTGGCCTGCTGGGCCCCTGACCATTCCTGGTCAAGCTCTTGGCGAGCTTGAGTGAGAGGCCTGAGTTCCCTGTATGCTCCTACGCTTGGCCTCACTAGTGGACACTCACCAACTTGAGTGGACAATCTCATATGATTTCACATCCTTACACACTTTCCTTGCTTACTGGGTGCTCTGTTCCTGTGCAAAAGAAAACCACAAAACAGACCCCAAAGCAGAGAGGCCAGGTCACTCCCACTGTCATTGTTAGCTGCTCTCCAGTCAAGCGTGACCACTAGTGACCCTCTGAACAACAGGCCTGAACTCAGCACTGTCCTGTGCCATCTTCATCATCTCTGATGCACTTGGGGTCATTGTGCTGCAGTCACTGTGAGTCCACCCTGAGGATCTTCCTCCCCTGTGCTGACCTTCCCAAACAGGACGCCCCTTTCCAAGGAATAGCCTCTCCTAGCAGCATACCCAGAGTATGTGGCACAAAGCAGCCTCATCATCCTTGTTTCCGGGGGACACTCTGGCTGTACTCTCTCCAGTACATACCTGTACGGTTTGTTTGACAGTCCATGGGATATTCAGAATAATTCTGTCGTCCTTGTTCACTCTTCAGTTTTCAGATAATGACAAATGACTGAAAAGACCATGGCTTGAATCAGGCACACCTTAATCTTCAGACTGACAGCCTTGCTTCTCAGTAATTTGGAGAAGTCCTTGACAGCAGACCTTCCCCGTGCAGTACACCTCCTGAGCTGACTTTTGGTCCCAAGGGTATTGGTTGTTGATCCAAGCAAGGTGAAAGAATTGACAACTTCAGTCCTTTCTCCATTTCTCATGAGGTTTGCTATTGGCCCAGTGGTGAGAATCTTTGTTGTCTTGATGTTGAGATGTAATCCGTATTGAAGGCTGCAGTGTTTGATCTTTGGAAGCAAATGTTTCAGGCCCTCCTCACTCTCAGCAAGCAAAGTTGTGTATTTGTATGGTGCAAATTGTCAATGAGTCTTCCTCCTCCATCCTTGACTGTGTTCGAGTCCAGGTCATCACGACTCTTCATCCAGTTTCTGAGATTGTAAATCTTTCTGGGAGAAAGATTTCTGTCTTTTTCCCAAGGAGTGGATGGTGGGTTTGAACTACTGACCTTTGATTATCAGTCTTTTACTTTCACACTGTAGTACATACTCATTCCTCCCTGACAGGAATTGCACATTTCAAAAGAAGGTTAGGTTCCGTAGGAAGAGGCTGTGGGACTGGGAGCGGGACAGTGGCCTTCAAGTCTGGGAGCAGAATCTGATGTGAAGACACAAAACCACCTGCTCCAGACTGCCGAGTGAGTGAGCCCCGCTTCTCTGGCCGACTGGGCCTTGGCGCTGGGCTGGGGGTCCTCTGAGGAGCTGGGGTCCTTGCTCACTGCCTGCCTCCAGCCTTGGGTCCCACCTCCCACCCTCCCCCCTACCTCCGGCGACTCACATGATGATTTCAAGAACCTTCTCTACCTGCCTTTGACCCAGCACCATGGCGATGTCTGTTTGATTTTAGTCAGAGTTCTTCCAGGATACAGGCAGCACCAGTTTGCTTTGCACCAGGGGCACCTTCAGCCTCAGCCCGGCTCCTGTCCTAACCGTCCAGCTGTCCTGCAGGCCTGGGGTGCGTTCGCTTCGACAGGTGATTGCGTTTTACTTGGATCCACCAGCACCCACAGAAGCAGCAGTTGAGTCAGATTGAGCGAATCTTTGGCGAAGGGACTCGTTCTCCCGACTGCTAACGAGCCAGCATCTCACCGTAAAGACTGAGGTGTTCCCGACGTGAGCCGTGGCGCTTCTCAGCAGGAGGGTGCGAGACTGCCTCGCGTAGCCGGGCGTGCCAGGAGGCGCCAGGCCCTGGAGAAGGGAGCGGGTGTGGAAAGGGGTCAGCAGAGGGGAGGGTGAGCCCCACTGAGGTGGACTGACTTGGTGACAGCAGCGGTGGGGTAGGCACAGCAGGCTGGGAGGACGGGCAGGGACGGGCAAGTCTTGGAGCTGACTCGATGGCATCTACAGGCGCTGCGTCCTCGTCCACAGGACAAGAGAGTATCTTCCTCTCAGACTCAAGCCAGGGCCTTTGAATGGTCTGATATACATGCAAACGCTGGACGTTTAAAAGGTAGACAGGAGTAGATTCATTTTTAATTGTAGTGCTGTAGGAACACCATGGAATAAACCAGGGACTGCAGATTGCTGTTATGTACCACTGAGTCAGAAGTGCACGTTTGTGTGCGTTGTGCACGAGGACATCCCATCTAAGGGAGTTCTCGACTGCTCTTGCCCTGTTAGTTGGGGACCTGGTGTTTGAGGACGGTCCCTCCGCTCTAACTGACCACTGCTTCTGCAGTGGCCAAAGGAAGAGGCCAGACCCCAGCCGCCCCGTGGCTGTGACCCGCTCAGTTGGCAGTGACTCTTCCAGAGCCCCTCCTGGACACCCGGCCAGCCTCCTGGAGCTGGCCCAGCCCTTCATCCAGATGGGATGGTGAGAGGCCTGCACTGTCCTTGGTCCCCCAGCACCGGGAGCTGGGCGGGGACAGGTGAAGGGCCCCAGCCGGCCCTGGCTTCCTCAGCTGGGGAGGTGCGAAGGTTGGAGCTCAGAAATGGCTCTGTCCCTGGAGTCGCTGACGATTCCCCTCCTTCGCGGGACCTGAGCTGCAGCTCGTGGCTGGTAGGGAACCCTAGGGCTTGACGCTCAGTCCCGCACCCCAGTTACTTGCCTCGTGCAGAACGTGTCATTTTCCCTTGGATCATTTCTTTGAGGACGAGTATGCAGCAGTTGGACCTAAAAATGTACCCTAATTATAGCATCTTCATCAGCTGACAGCCTAATTATGGGTAAGCTTCAGGGTACAAGATGCGTCTTTGCACCCTGGTCCGTTACAGAGAGAATAATCACACTCCCCCCCTTTTAAGAGGATAACAGTTTCTGATATTTGGGGTTCCTGATCCTCTTTGTGTGAGGGTGCTGGTATGTCTCTGGTCACACGCTGTGTTCTCTGAACACCTTGTGGGTGCAGTTACCCTCCTGTTCTGCACCTGCCTGGGGGTGCAGGTGAGACATACACAGGGGAATTCAAGACAGTTAAGTGCATGGAAAGAACCCTTATAGGTGCAGCTACAGCCCCTGGCTGCTAACCAAAAGCTCGATGGTTCGAACCCACCAGCAGCTCTGCAGGAGACAGATGAGGGTGTGCGTTTCCGTGATACTGGCCAGGCCCGGAGACCCCGGGGCTGTGCTGTCCCCCAGCCCCTGGGGTCACAGATGAGGGAAGGCCCTGGCTTCTGTTTTTATTTTTGAGGAAGTGCTCTGGGTTTTTCTGGAATTAGAATTTTTAAACTTTTCTTTCCTGCTGAACCGTATGGAGGCAGTGTGGTGGCTTATGATGAGGAATCACGTAACCAGGCCACAGGCAGAGGTTCCTGTTCACCAGCCTCCCTGTGGGGAAAGGTGAGCAGTCTCTTCCCGAGCGATTTCTGTCTCAGGAAACCTGCGGGAGCATCGACGATGGCTGATTCCACCCTGATGGTGCCCAACAACAACAACGATGACAGCTAGAGTAGAAACAGAGGATTGCCCGTGCGCCAGCGGGGAGGGTACGTTTACCTTCCCCCAGCTACGGCCTTAGTGACAGTGCCGAGAGGCCGCAAGTGAGGCCTTCAACAAAGAGAAATGGACCTTCTTACAGTTTCAGAACTCAAACCTCACCGCCCTGGAGTCAGAACCAGCCTATAGCGCCCTCCGATGGGTTTCTGGGCTGTGGGTTGCACGAGAGGAGGTGGGCGTCTTTCTCTGTCTGGACTCCTGAGGGATTTGAACCACCAGAGAGGCCAGGCCAGTGGGTTAGAAGCACAGCTCCTCTAGGGCATGCTGGTGGCTGGAGTGCCAGGCTCACAGCTGCAGGGCCAGGCCTGGGGGTAACGGCACAGCAGCACCCCCACACACAACACACTGGTGCTGGCAGCTGGAGTTCCAGGCTCCCGGCTGCAGGGCCAGGCCTGGGGTAACAGCACAGCACCCCCCCCCCACTGGTGGCTGGAGTTCCAGGCTCCCGGCTGCAGCAGGCCTGATTCCCTCTGTGCTGGAGGAATGTCCTTGTTCCCCTGCAGAAGCCGGTCTGTGGCGGCTTTCCCTGGTGTGTGAGAGCTGCCTTGCTTGTTAGGAGGACACCCTGCACCCCTGGCGACTGTCTCTGGAGGGGGCCGAGTCCCCCTTTGTGGCTCGTTTTCCTCCCCTGTGTCTGGTGAGCTAGCGGGTATGACAGGTCACACCACAGGGACTCGCCTTTCATTGGGTCAGACCCGGCCACCTGTGCAATGTGGGGCTCAGAGTCTGGTGGCTGGCGTGTGACCAGCACCGTAGGGACCCCAGGTTGGGGTTGAGCCAGCAGCTTCAGCTTGATCCTGGAGCCTGAGCCAGGTCGACCTCCATGCCTGAGTCTGCACTGGTGAAGGGCCCTCACCGGGCCTGGCTGACAGGGAGTGGACAGACTGAGTGACATGCCGTTTGTGACGCCTCTCTCTGAACCTCAGTTTCCTCATCTGTAGCCTGGAATCACAAAAGCTTTTTTTGCCTAAGGGCAGAATTATTGGAGGACCAGCAGGCAGCACCGTGGGAAAAACATGACCTTGTATAAAGAGAGAAGTTCTCTTATAATCTCTGTTTGGGATGCACGCGGCTGCGTTCCTTAGGAATAAAACATTCTTGGGAAATATATTGATTGACAGAGTTCCTGAGAGATTTTCACTGACGAAGCACTGTCCTGCCTTGGGGAATTTCCGTGTCGTGTGCTGCCTGGTGGGAAGCATTCTCTCAGGCTGTCACCTCAGTGCTGGCTGGTGGGAACTGCCTTTCCTGGAGCCCAGGGGCTGCCCTGCGGGGCTGTCTTCACCAGGGCTGTGTCATCATGCCTCCATGTCACCTTGAGGTCTCATCTCCTGTTCACATTCGGAGACTTTCCTGTGAAGCGGAGGAGAAGGAAGGGTGAGGGGAGCAGGGAAGGAGAGTCAAAGGTGGTGGTTTAATTTAGGGCAGGTGACGTGAGGGCATGAGGGCACGTCTGCAGCCTGAAGGGGAAAAGCCAGCAGGTGGGGGCTTGCTGACCAGAGGGGGCAGGACGCCTGCTCTCCGGGTTAGTGTGAGGGCCTTTGTCCAGTGGCCTTCTAGCGTGGTGGGAAGCACAGGCAGTAAGGACTGTTGTTGTGTCCCATCCAATCGAATTGACCCACAGCTGACCCTCCGGCAGGTTTTCAGAGTCAGTGAGTCGCCCCGGAGGAGATTGTCAATTCTCCTGTGGAGCAGTCAGTGGATTAGAACCGTCTGCCTTTGGGATTGTAGCACAGCTTCTTACCTCCAGGCCACTTGGAAATCCCACAGGGCAGTTCTGTTCTGTCCTATAGGGTCTCTGTGGGTTGAGTTTTTTGGGGTTGGGCTGTCAGAAGATGAGACACAAGAGAGTCCTGAGTGGACGTGAGGTGCCCCGCGGGGTGCTGTCCACTGGCGCAGCCCCATCTGCTGGAGCTGGTGTCACTTCCAGGTGTTTCTCCATGGCCCTCAGAAGCCACCATTGCTCTGGGGGTGAACCGACTAACCTGAAACGATTTTTTCTTCCAGAAAGCCCCGCCATCTTCATGTGCAAGTGCTGCAATCTCTTCTCGCCCAGCCAGTCGGAGCTCCTGGCCCACGTTTCCGAGAAGCACGTGGAAGAAGGGGTGACTGTGGATGACATCATCATCCCCCTCAGGCCCCTCAGCACCCCGGAGCCCACCAACCCGAGCAAGATCGGCGATGGTAAGGGGCGCCCACTGTGGGGTCTTCTGCTGCTTCTGTGATGCCGAGTCACGCTCTCAGATGTGGTGCTAGGGCTTCTGTTCACGGGTGGAACAGGGAGTGTCAGGGGAAGGCCTGGGGCAGCTGAGCCTGGCCTTGGTGGATGACGACATGACACCCCAGGATTGAGACGAGCCTGGCCTCCCTGGTCACGGCCTGTGTAGACCTGGCTGCCCCGTCTGTCCCTTCGGGTAACTAGTTCCCGTGTGGAGTCCCTGGCTGGTGCAGGTGTTTACATGCTTGACTACTAACATAACAGGTTGGCGGTTTGAACCCATCCAGAGGTGCCTGGGTCGCCTTTGAATTGATGATCAGCCGCAAGACTGCGGAGATCAGGGGAAGAACGTCCTTGTTCAGAGTTAACACTGTCAGCAGTGTTAGGGTTGAAGTGTCTCTCTGCAAAAGGTGCTTTTGAAATCCCGATCCTTGGACGGGAAAGGCAGGAAGCTGGAAGACAGGTGGTCAGCTGTGCCACATACTCTGGTCATCTTATCAGGAGGGACCAGCCCCTGGAGCGGAACATCGCGCCCGATAGGGTGGAGGGAAGGAGAAAGAGGGAGACCCACAGTGACCTGGAGCTGGGAGACCTGGAGTGGTTAACGCAGTGCCGATTGCTGTCTGCTGCTTGCTGAGAGCAGACCACGAGCTGTTCGCAGACCGGCGAGCGTTCTGAACGCCCCATGCTGTCTGTAGTCCTGTCTTCTAAATACCTTCATTCCTGCTCTGATTTACCACAGAGCTACGTGATAATGAGAACGCAAAACCACCCTAAGAAACCAGAATCAGTGAGGTATTTCATTGTTGATCAGGGAGCTCTGGTGGCCTTGTGGTAAGGAGTTGCACTGCCAACGCAAAGGCGCACTGTTCTAATCCACTACCTGCTCTGTAGGAGAAAGATAGGAAATCTCTTTTGCAATTAAACTGCATCTGAAAACCTGCTGGAGGGTCAGCCATGGGTCAGTGCTGACTTGATGGTACATAACAACAACACTATGACATTGCGGCCACAGGCAGGTGGTCACCATAAGATAGCTACTCCTGAGGAAGCCCAGGCCAGCCCCCTGGGCAGCTGCACTGCGTGTGGTCTGGCCCCATGCGTCGTCAGCACCCTCTTTCACTCTTGAAGTGCCTTGTTCTGGTCAGCAGTGGACACGTCTTCCTGCCTGCGCACCTGTGGGCAGTGGGACCCTCACTCAGTGGGCTGCCTCTCCTCTTTCGTCCCCATGAGACAAGAATGATGGCCAGTGCGTTTGCTGGAACTTAGACAGAGAAAACCCACATCTTGTCCAAGGTGTGGGTGGATCTGAGATGGGAGTTCAAGTCTGAATCCAGCCCTGAACTTTACACCAGGCCCCCGTGTCTGTCCAGCAGCTGGGATGTGGCTGCGTGTAACCGTCACCTCCCTGTCCTCAAGCTTGTTCTTAGTGTCCTCTAGAACACACCCCCAGCCCTAAGTGAGAATGATGTCTTCCCACGCGCTCCAGCCTCCTTCTTACCGGACATCCCTAGTTCAGGGCTGGGTTTCTTCATTTCCACCTCATGTCTTTCTGAAAGGTTCCACCTCTGCCTGGTGGGGGCCTCTGAGCGCCGTGGGAATGGCCATGGGCTTGTTAAACAAACCTTCCTTTGTCTGCAGCGCGCTGCTCGTTCCTGGTGTCAGACAGATGATCAATTGGGCAGCTCTCAGCGGGCTGTTGGCTTGTGTCTGAGCTGGAGCGGAGGTCGTCAGGGTTATAGATGAGTCCTGAGATGGGACGCTCACAGACTCGATTGCGTTTCCGCCGCTGCCCCTTTGTCTAGAAGTGGATTTGTGGGGATTCCTCTCACTCGGTTTGTGGTGTTTCCTCCTGTACTGCCCGTCATCTGTGCTTGCAGAGACCTCATTCCTGAGCCTGGATGGCTGTCTGATGCGTCTACCTGCTGCCCACGATCCTCTGGGTGGTGGGGGACGTCTGCACACGGAGGACAGCATGCATCTTGCGCCGTACGTGGACCGTGAGCCTGATGGTCCTTCATCACTCAAACCCTTTATCATCACTCCTTGTTCCAGATTTACACGAGCATCTCAGAGAGGCCCTTTCCCACCTGCTGTCTCCTGAGTCGCTGTTTGTCTCTCTACCACCAGCTTTCCTTCCTGACCCTCTGGGTGCAGGCCCTTATCCCAGGTGCTCCAGGCATGGCCGGTGACTTTATCCTTCACGTCACTCCTGCCTCTTCCTGGTGACACACGTTTGTCTTCACTGTGCAGATTAACAGAGTCCTGGAGAAGAATCCTAACCTGCGTCACCTCACGTCGCTGGTATGTGCTCCAGAGACCAGACTTGTTACCTGTGAGCTGCCTCTAGCACATGGCAACCTATGTGGTTCTCTGAGTGACAGTTTCCATGGAAACAGATCACCAGGCCTCTCTTCCATGGCCCCACCGGAGAGGTGTGAACTTCCAGCCATGTGGTTAATTTGATTAATAGCCCAATACAAGCTGTCTTTGTTGCTCAAGGACAAGCCTGCATCAGAGCCAGGGTCCGCCCACCCCTCAGTCTCCTGCTACACATCAGAGAGCTGGACACTGAATACGGATGACAGAAGAGTTGATGCCTTTGAGCTGTGCTGTTGGAGAAGAGCACTGAGTGCCCCTGGACTGCCAGATGAACAAGCAGAGATGTCCTGGGGAAAGTGCAGGCCGAGTGCTCCTTGGAGACAGAGATGGAGAAGCTTCGCCTCTCGTACTCTGGACATGAGGCGAGACAAGGCTATTGTTGGGGAGCGACATCATGCTTGGAAAGATGGAGTGTTAGTGAAGCAGAGGAAGACTCCCAGTGAGATAGGCTGACACGGTGACTTCAGCTGTGGGCTCCAGTGTATCGGAGACGGTGAGGATACAGGAGAGGGCAGGGTCCAGGCTGGCTGTGCATAGGGTGGCTGTGAGTCGTCCGCGACTTGACAGCACCTAACAGCAACAAGCCCACCGTGTCGAGCAGCAGGCTTGTGTGCTGTGCATCGTTGTTCGCGGACTCACTCCTCTCATTCTTCTCCGGATGTGAGGTGGAAATCATTCTTGTGTGTAATTACTGCCCTGGGATGGCTTGCAGGAGGCTGGGATGCTGGAAGCTGTGCCGTCAGCATCTCAAATCCCGGGGTCATCCGTGATGGACAGGGTTCAGCAGAGTTCCCAGAGAGAGACAAACAAGGAAGAATGGCTTGTCTGCCTGTTAGAAAAAAGAAAAAAAATTTTTTTTAAAAAAAAGGCAGCCAGTTACAAGCCCCCGGATGGCAGCAGACCTTGTCTGATAAGGTGCCAGGAGGTGCGTGCCTCAGGTGAAAACACTGAGAGGAATGTGACCGGGGAGTAGAGTCGACCTTAACGTCATGGGCAAAAGAGAGCTTTCTAGAGCTTCGTGGGTTAATGTGGCTTCACTCAAAATGAGAAGAAACAGCCACAGACATCCATTAATAATTGGAATGTGGAACGTGTGAAGTATGAATCTAGGAAAATTGCAAGTTGTCAAAAAAAAGAAATGGAATAGTTGGAGATTGATATCCTAGGCATTAGTGATCTGGAGTGGACCAGTGCTGGCAGTCTTGAGTCAGATGACGGTATGGTAAACCGTGCTTGCACTGGCGCCTTGAAGAGAAAGGACCTCATGTTATTGTTGAAAAGCACATTTCCGTTTCTGTCCTGAAGCACAGTGAGGCCAGTAATGGTCAAATAGCCATACACCTTCAAGGGAAACCATCTAATGTGACTGTTATTCAAATTTATGTGCCAATCACTAATGCAAAGATGAAGAAATTGAAGACCTTTACCACCATCTGTGGTCTAAGGGTGATCAAACCTGGACTCAGGATGCATTGATAATTGCTGGTGTTTGGAGTGTTAAAGTTGAAACAGTAGACGGATTGTTAGAAACTATGGCCTTGGTGATAGAAACGCCGGCAGAGAACACATGATCGAGTGTATTCTTGAAAATAACTTTTCTCACAAGATAGATGGCGATGATTCATGTGTACCGTGCCAGATGAAAATCATAGACATCTATGGAGAGAGATGATGGGAGAGTTGGGTATCATCAGCCGGAACAAGACCAGTGGTCAGGGGAGGAGCAGACCATCAATAGTCATGTTCAAGTTCAGGTTCAACAAATCCATGAGAAGTAAACTAGAGCTGTAAATATATTGCATGTGAATTTAGAGACCATCTCAAGGATAGATTTGATACATTGAACCCTAATGACTGAAGACTAGATGAGTCATGGGATGACCTAAAGGACACTGTGTGAAGAAAGAAGAAGGTCATTAGGAAAGAAGAAAAAAATAATAAAAATAGGAAGGCCATAAGGAAAGAAATGCACAAAGTGCGTGTAAGGATATTCTGAAACTTGATCCTGAGTATAGAATAGCTCAAGTTTAGGGGAGAAGTGAAGGAATGGGGCTGGAGAAAAGATTTCAGAGGGCTAATTGAGAAGACAAAATAAAGTGTTATAATGAAATGTGCAGAGCCTGGAGGTATAAAACAAAAAAGAAGGCTGTCCTGGGCATTTCTCAAGCTGAAAGAATAGAAGAAAACTCCACTTCTTGAATACAATCTCGAAAGATGCCGTGGACAAAATATTGAATGACATAAGAAAGCATCAAAAAAATCTGGAATACACAATCACTGTCCCAAAAAGTCTTGATTGATTTTCAGTCATTTCAGCTCATATTTGAGAATCAATGCTATTGAAGGCAGAAATCCAAGCTGTTCTGAAAACTTTAGTGGAAAAGAAATCCCTAGGAATTGATGGCATACCAATTGAGATGTCCCAACAAATGGATGCAACATTGAAAGCCCACATTCATCTCTGCCCAGAGATCTGGAAGACCGCCTCACCAACTGAATAAAGAAGGATCATATCTGTGCTCGCTTCAGAGAAGAAGGACTCAGCAGACGGCAGAAATGATGGCACAACATCTTCCTATCATTT